ACACACACACACACACACACACACACACACACACACACACACACACATATATATATTTATTTGCATATGTACCCATTATGCTGTGTATTCAGATGCTCCATGAAAGTCTCAACAATGGGTAAAGCATCACTGGAGCTGAGCAGCAAGTTTCCCGAAATGTTGCAGCGCAGGTCAATCATATCGGAGCGCCATCCCTGAAGGTTTTGCTGGGTCACCTGGAAGGTTTGGTTCCAGTTGACTTGAGTGTCAAACACCAGTGGTGAAGTTTCAGCCGTTGGAGGTGAAAATGTTGCTTGTTCGTCTCTCAGAGAGACTCTTCTTCTGCCTGCTCTGTTTAAAACGTGGAACTTCTTGTCCGTCCGGTTCCTGTTCACTATCACCTTAGGACCTTTTCTTGGATCTGTTTCCGATTTTTTGGACCTCACTTTAAAGTTTTTAGCTTCCCTTTGGGGGGCTGTAAAATGCCTGGCGTTGTGCAGGTTGGACTCCATCTGCCTGGTTACAAGCCTTTGCTGATAGGGAAATATGTGTTCTTTTGCAGGTGAAACATCCCCATTTGTTTTTGGAAGCGGAAAGTCGGTGGTTGTCTGGATTTGAGTTTGATTCCTCTTCTGGTTCCTCTGGATCATATTCTGTTTGGAGTCAAGTTTCTCCAGTCCATCCGCTGGTTGTTGCTTGGCTTTGAGTTGCTCTTTGCCAGCTAGCACCTGTGCATTTGTGTCTACTGACCTACCTGATGATTTCATTTTATGTCTTTTTGCTAACCTTCCACTTCCTTTTTGTTTAACTGGTTTCACGTTCCTTACCGAGGCCTCTTGCTTGAACTCTGTCCTGTTGTGCTGCAGGTGGTTTAGGGCTTTCATTTGCACTGAGGCTCTCTTTTGTCCGTTCTGCGACTTCTCTGTGGACGATCCTGTATGAGTGGAGTTCAGAGCGCCAATAGTCTCATGAGGGACCAAGGAAAAGAGTTTGCGTCTGCGTCTCTGAACATAATCATCGTAGTCATCCCCATAATCTGGAAATAAGGCATTATCAGGTTGTTTCAGCCGGGCTTCTGCATCCCTCCAATCAGCCTGATCAAAGCTGTTCTCCCTGTGGGCCGATCTCTTCTTCTGGAAACCAAAACCTAACATTCATCAAAAGCAGGGTCAAAGGTGGATATTGAAGTGGTTTGAACATGCAAGGAATTTGATTTTGTTTTCAAAACACAAAAAGAGCTTAATAAATACCTTGGTTTCCCTTGTTTTGCATACCAGGCTGATCGAATGTCATATATCTAGAGAAACCAGACCTGAAGGGGAAAGAAAACTCTAAAGATGTCAAACTGAATGATACAAAACCGTAAATTATCATACTAATGCAAACATTTTCATTCAAACATTTGCCATTCCTTGTACTTTATCAAGTATAAAATAGAAGGAAAAATTGCACTTGAATGTATTATGAGGTGTGTTTGGCTTGAAAACTCACATTCTCCTGTAGTACCGGGCGTTAGGGTAGAAGCAGCTGTCCTCGTCCTCCATGTGTGTGAGTCGGGTATAGTCATTTGGATAAACGTAGGAAATGTGGATCTAGAAAAAAAAAAGAATTGAGAGCTTTCCTATGTAAAATCACAAAGGAACAGAGAGAAGTCTTAAAGTCCTCACAGTTACGATAATCCAACCAATGAGGTGACAGATATTCACAGAGCACATGATGTATATATTTTATATCAATACCAAATTTCACAATGGATGCAAACTACAGTTAGGCAAATTTCCAAAGAATAAATCTGTCCACATGCGTCAAAACAGAGCTGAATTTTTGTCATCTTAAAAAAGATTTGTCTTGAAATCCAAAACCTTTACCCTTAAGAAGTTTGAAACGGTTGAAGACTATTGGATTACCCATGGCGGGTTAGCTGAGCTAAACATTAACAGTAAAAAGAAAATTGTGAATACCAGACCTAGCTTTGTGTCAGGAAACAAATCCCACCAACTACTACAATCACATTTGTTTCTTGTGTAAACAACCTATAAATGGCAATCTTATTCTATTGTTCTCTAAAGATTGCTTTCCAAAAAGGGTCAAACATAAATAACTTTAGAGAGTTTGCCACATAATCTATAGAATATCTAAAAATATTGCTGTTGTCATTAAAAGTTTAGCTGGAATAATAGGGGGGTCTCCATGAACCCAGTCCAGTGGGAAACTTTATCATTCCTATCAAATTCTAAATACATGAAAAAATGTGAAATTTCTTGTTAGTATTGCAGAAAAACAAAAAGTTACTGGAGCTTAACAAGCGCAAGTCTGATTAGTGTAATCAAAATAGAATAATAACATACAAACTCCAGGCCCTGGTAACGTTGCAGGACAAAGTTTCTGATTGTGTAGCTGGGTTTGTATAAGCAGTCGGGCAGAACACCTTGGATGAACTTGCTGTTGATCAGAGGCACTGAAAACAAACGACAAGCAGGTTTGATTCTTGATTACTTTCCGCTTAGTTTTTAAAAGGAAATAACTTGTTGTCATCCTACATCCGGGATGAGAGAAATGGTGCTGCTCAGAGTCATCTCTCACCTTTATAGAACGTATCTCGTGGATCGTCTCTCAGCATGTCGGCAGCAGCACTGTGCCGTTTTGTGGGGGCCTTTTTGTGGCTTGCAGCTGTCTGTGGTATGTGGGCAACATCACTCATCAGCAGAGCCGACTCATCTGTAGGATGAAGCCATGGAGCATAAGAATGACAGAAGCGCTTCATGTTTGCAGCAAAAACAAAACCAGTGAGATGGAGCGATGAGCATTGTTGCAGAACAATGAGGACAAATAGTTTCCGACTGTGAGAATGATGCAGTTTTTTTTTTAAAAAGACGGTAACTGACTTTTTTCATCCAGCGACCTGCAATGATGTTCACACCTACCAGCATAGAGGGAGATGTACTTGGACTCAATAACCGTAAACCTAAAGCCATGGTCCAGGAGCTGCCACTGAGTAAAAACAAACAAAGAACCGCATGCCTCTTACACTCCAATACTCGCATTGAAAACAAAGTGAGACACAGACTTAGCATGAGAGTTGGAACCAACGGCATGGACGGAGAAAACAGAGGGAGCCCAGTACTTACTGCCACTTCCACATGGTCAGTCCCTCTGTCGTTTTGCTTGTGGATAACTTCGAAAAAGTATCTCTTCTGAGCAGATAGCCTGTCGGACAGTTAAGAGTTCAAACTAAGCACAGTGCTGAGTTCATGTAAATGTAATGGGTTCATGAAGAGATATATCCTGAACCGATAAGAACCCAGACTCAAAGTAAGATTATAGGGAGTTGGCCCCACAAATCACTTTTGACTGAATTTGACTGAATAGCACAGTAGCACGCAAATAAAAAGCACCTATTAAACTTGTAGTACAATTTTATTGTGTTTCTTTGAATATTGTGTGTATTGGCAGTGTTGGCTTTGACCCGATCTGATGAGATTTATCTAACTGTAAATTTAACAGGCCATTAGGCCTGCAGAGAAAGGATATTTTTATGTGGAAGATTATGTGTTGTATTGTTGGAAAAGTAATGCAGGGGTTGTTGCCTCTATGATCTGTGTGGTATGAATCATATCAGAGCCGTGAGAAGGCTGGCAGGCCATGTACTGCTTGAAAAAAAATCCCAGCAAGGTCTTAACTTAAATCCTAAAAAGTGCTCCTGGGAAGTTTCTACTACTTTCTTTTACGACATTATTCTTGATTATGTTGATCAATTGTCTGATTACTTTGAACATATTCAAAAGAAAACCCATATGAGTCAACATTTGCATTCACAGAGTCAATATGTGCTATTCAACACACCTGTGTACCAACCGCTGTGAATGCAAATAATCAGACAATATGGTGATTTCATAACTCTGTGCTACACTCTTGCTCAACTCTTCCAGGCTTTGAACACATAAAAAAACCACAGCTACAGTCTGACTAAGCCTTCCAGAAACTTGTGCATATGCTGCACATACTTCTTTTGAACCTGAACATTTGCCTTACAAGGAAAGGCCTCTAGAGAAATGTTGTAATATTTCAACAGCATGACACATTTAGTAAAGTGACTTGTTTACCGGTTCAAAGACTAACCAGAAAAAAGGACAAATCAGAATTTTAACATGAGTATGACAAATGTTCGACAATAGATTAGATTTATGCAAATTAGTGGCTATTGTTGATGTAATCCTGGAAAAAAAGAATAACTGAGATAAAACTAAAGACGGTAAACTATAGTTTTCTTTGTGTGCATCTGTCAGTGGCTCAACTGCAAACCGATGTTTAATCTTTGGTGTCAACATGAGTACTTCTCTCACATTAAGATATCTCACAGCTTGATTGTTCAGACGGTTGTTTAAATGCATTTTCTCATGTTTCCTGAGTGTGATTTCATTAGTTTACTTTATCGATCCCACAATGGGGAAATTCACATGTTTTGTTACCTGTTCTGTTCTACAGATAAAGCAGAAGCCTGAATGTGCCTTTTAGTATTTTCTTTCAAATCAAAAATACAAATAAAATATACTTATTATCATACATGTGTACCTATTCAAACTCTGTGGTTTTTCAGACTCGCCTGAGACTCATCTACTGCAAAACATTTCAATAGGTGCAAACACAAAACCCTTTGTCATCATAAACTGGGTGACTCACACTGTAACCGAAGGAAGATGAATCGATGAAGAGTCTACACAGACCCTGCATCAAAAGACCTTTGAATATTTTAACAAGCGAGAGAATTAGGCTTATGTTTTGTTTTGATGGCAAAAAGTTGGCGCTCTAAATGTATTCAGATCCTTCACTCAGGTGAAGTAAAACTGACACCTTCAACCACAACAGCGATGAAAAAAAGAAATAACTGAAACCTTAGCTAATACAGTTAAGGCTGAGCAACAGATCAATGACAGGTTGAGTCTCTGTTACCACACTGTCTGAATGAATTTCTATTTTTCATATCATGCTCATCAATAAATGAACCGGACCCACCTAACTGGTTTGGAGGTCTGACTGGCATACTTTTCAAACTCGCCGGGTGCTGTCCACTCTTTGCCACTCTAGAGAACAATAACCCAAAGAGAAACCAATGACTTGTATGATAAAGTCACAGCCGGACAATCAGACAAACATGCATACCTCTCCAACCCATGCCATCAACTGCAAGTTGACTGGGGAGTCATCGGTGCTGAGCCACAACTCAGAGTTGTCATCAGAACTCACAGCAAACACAAAGTCCCCTGAGAGAGAAAAAAAGAGAGACATGAGAGCAAAGAAATGAAAAGGATGGATTGAAGAAGACGACAGGTTCTGAGAAAGGATAGCATGGTGGATAAAATAAAAAGAGATGAGGTACCATCAGCGTACGGGTGTATATAACCAAATATCCTGAGCCCATAGTTGATCCACTGAGGAGAGACAGCCAGTTTCTGCACCGTAGTCTTGGACTGAAAGGGGAATGGCAGACAAACTGAAAATCAGCCATGATGTTGGTGTAATGCGAGATTACAGCTCAGGATTTTACATGTGGATGTAGAATGCACCTCAGAAGGAAAACAAATGTGTCCCTGCCAACACTTGGGTTCGCAGAGTGACCATTTCAGTCAGTTAAACAATTCTTGTTTAGACATATTGTCAAAGAATATCATGCTGCCATGAGATTAAATGTTAGGCAAAGATTTAAATGAAAAAGTCACGATTTATTTGAAGACAAATGTTCCAATAACATATTCTCTGATACAAATGATAAAAAGAACAAATGTTTTTTGTCCATTTTTGAGCTTTTAGCAGGACTGTGATGTCACTCATTATGTAGCGTTTTGATTAATAAATAAGTGAGTGGACTGAGATCAGTTGGACTCACATGGGGATATAATGGATAATGAAGATTCTCGCGCAGGTCTGCTGTAGAACTGCCACACCAGTCCTCAAACACATGCAGGTTGGCCTTCCCCTTAAACTGCAGGGAGAGAGAGGAGAGTGGTGACGAGGATCGGGATACAGTGCTGTAAGCATGAAGGGGCAGTCCAGCTGACCATCTGGTACCCCCGTTCAACAATCTAAAGCCCAGAAAACATTCTTCCTTCACTACCACTTGACAATAAAAGTTGAGTCGGTCCGCACATTAAAGTAGAAACAGAAATTACTGGAGATTTCTTTATGAAAATGAAGGTAAAAGCTAAAGTTTTCTGCTTTGATAACCCACAAAATCTATTTGGGTATATAGAATATGTTTGTATAATGGATAGTTTGACCCTTTCAATGAAATAAATTACAAAAAAAGTCCTTATCAGTAAAGTAAATAGTCAATATTGGAGGTAATCATTTTTCTTATGCTCCTGTCAAAATCTCAGTGAAAGTCTACTGTAAGCACTGGAATGCACACATAGGTCTATGATGAAGTAGTAAAGTTTCATAGTCCCAGATGTCCTGTTAACAAACACCTTAGTGACATCTGGCAGTGTTATCTGATCTACGTGCATCCCAGCGTGTCCTGATTGCAGCTCAGGGACAGGACAGAAGAGGTCTGAGCCCAGTCAAATCAAATGAATGATCACATCTTATGAACAGTTGCGCTAAGTTTGCTATTGTCAGCACAGTTTCTTAAAGGCTAGCATTATGGTCAGACAAAAGGATAAAACTACAAACAAATTTCCCTAAAATTACACTCGGGCCTCTTGCAACACCGCACATCAACAACAGTGTGTTTATCTTTCAAACGTCACTTCATGTAGAGTTTGGGAAGCTTTTTTTTTTTTTTAACTATTCTTCCGCTTTTACAGTTATTTAAAACTTCAAATATATATAAAAACAGATATTTAATCATTCTCAGCACTACATTAAAATAAACTGGAACTAAAAAGGAAACAAAGAAAGTAACACAGATTATCACAGCTTAACACAGTAATTGGTGACAGATGTGGGCTCATTTGTGTGTAATCAACTCTTTCAAATAAAGTCCGTTTTAGAACCACGTTTTTCTGGGAACATTATGCGTTCTCTGGAAGTGAGCACATTACACCTCTTTTTAAGAAAGTAAGTGGTCACGACAGCAGAAATTTCCATTGAGAACGTGAATTCATAGACATGGAATGTGTGATCAACTTGACTTCCTGTCATATAACTCTTTGTTCCATTAACAATCTATGACTCATCACAAAGTGAGAAGTCAGACCACAATGGCTTGCCAAGGATGGGAAATAGTGTAAATCACAAATAATGGAAATTAATCTTCTTAAAAGTATGTATTTTGAGTAAAGAAAGGATTAAACGCCACAAGATGGATGATGGAACACAACGTTTAAAAGCATCTCTCCATTCTGGGTCACTGCTGGGTCAAAAAGATACTGGGCCAAGATAGAAACAGGCAGGTGAAAGCTCTTAAGGCCATATAGCTTCTTACAGCTGGTGTTTCATGTGTTATTTGACATATCTTGTGAAGAATTTGGAGGAAAGTGTTGTGTAAACCGGACTTTGGAGGAACATTTTTCATGCCGCACCGTAAAATTCCTAATTAGAAACCAATTAAGCATTCGATAATATGGAAAAATTAAACCTTTGTTTATCTATTATAGCAAACTGCAATAATTCAGGAAAATAAATATGCAAACTCAAAATTCCTGATCCTTTTAGGGTTTCACATGAAACCATCATACACACCCATTTGAGGTGTTAATGTAGTGATTAAAGTCATCATTCAAAGTTGGTATTTATGAACCTCTCTGTAACCAAAAATATTTGTTTTTAAGAAAAAAATCTACAACTTCAATTTAGGACTCGGTGAATAAACAGTTTTTCTTAATCACAATTTTTTTTATTGCATTTAAGCTTAAAGTTTGTTGGGGGTTTTTTTTTTTAACAATCAACACTATATATAACTTTTTTCCCCCCAAGGCCAGGCAACAGTGGGATTGTTTGTTTTTATTTATATGGCAGCCCACACAGAAAATGTTTCCTCCTGACATGGAATATGAGAAGCTAACCATTGAAAGCAAGCGAAGCTCTGCCCATTATAGTAAAAAAAAATATGACGACGCTAAAACAAAACAGCGGAAGCTGCTGGAGTCTGTTGCAGGAAATACACTTTACAGGCAAAGGCTTTGAGCTGAGAGAAAACTGGGCATGCCCAGACAGGTTATTCAGAGTTCAGCGGACGTGAGATAGAGTACTTAAGCAAAAAAAAAAAAAGCTCTGTGCAACCGCAGAACCATCAACTCACCTCTGGTTTCCAGCTTTGTGGGTTATAGCTGGAGATCCAAGCAGCTGAGTCTGGCACAGAGTCAGGCTGATGCCCCCTCTTCACCTAGACAACACATTAAGCCTGGTTCAGCTTGAGCTTGGTTTTCCACTTTACCCTCACCCGCTTTACACAAACACACAGCCTCAAATCACCACACTTTCTGCTACTTCTTTTCCCATGCACCCTCACTACCTTTTGGTCGAACATGGCTCTCCTCCAGTTGCTGCCAGTGTCAAAGTTCAAACCTGAGGACAAGAAGTAAAAACTATCAGAGCAAAGAAGGGCTTATAGGTAAATAAGCAGCAGCTGCGTGCAGACAGTCTGATTTGAAAGTGATATGCAAGTGTCTCAGGGGATGAGCAATTTGGACCAAATTTCCATGTAAACAAAATACATTCTAATGTGGAATTAGGTTTGAGGACCAGAGTGTGCTTCTTAGTACTGAAACACTTCTGGCCAAACCACTGGACAAAAAGAAACCCTAAAAAAAAACCCTGGCTACTTTGATACAAAGTAGCATTTCCCTGCAGGATCATAAATAGAAGGCATTTACTGTAAGTGGTAGCAGATCTGTAGTCACTGATATGTTGCATGAAACAGTTCAGACCAGTGTCCCAAAGAGATCTTGGCGCGTTTCAGCTCACTGCTGATTACCACCGAGTGAAACTCAGCTCAGTCAGACTTAAAAAAGCTGCAGTCACAAGGCTGTGCTCCAGTGTCGGTAAAACACTTCTGCCACTCCATTCGATGCTGAAATATTATCATGCACGAATCATAGTAGAGGGTGTATTTCAAAGTAGGGGCTTTGTTTTTTTTGTGAGCTTGTGGTAACAGTAAACTGGGGTTGCAGCGCTTGTGAAGGTCTGTCATTATCACCAGGGAGGAGGCCTCCGAGCACACACCCTAAAGACATGGATCCCAATTTTGGCATCGTGAGTAATTCTAGAGTGGTTGTTAAGAAAAGCAACACAGAGGTATTTTCATTTCCAACTGTACTCAGCCAGTCTTACTAGTCCACTTCTGACTGCTAGGAATTTGTTTGGCATTCAATGACTCATAGCTAAAAAGTTGTGGTTCATTAAATAGACATAAGGTTAAAAAAATAATCAAAAACACAAAGAGGAAGAAGGTTTTAGGGGTAGCTTTACAAATATTTTGGTTTATTTAGTCTTGTTTCAACAAATGTTTTACTGCTGCTCCCTGAGGGCAGCTAAAAATATCTTCTTGTTGGACAATTTGTCCAAATCAGAAGGGTTTGGGTAAGCTCTGCTAAACTTGTATGAAGGTTTATGGCAATGGACAACTCATAGCAACCCACATCATTTGGATGAACATTCCAAGTTATGCATTTGGTTTATCACATTCAGTCTAAAGTTCTACAAAGCTAACCATCTTTCATTTCGGTGGGCTTGTTTTTCTATTTTGAACCCTTTTAGTAGAAGTCAGTTGCAAAGGTTTAAAGCAAGCAGAGACTTTGACTACGTATATTTCGGGAAGCTGTAAACTGGCAAAAACCTTTATTAAGACAATTGTTGAAAAAAAATCCTTCGAATTATTAAAACATGAAGCCATCTTATTACTGTATGCGTATGCTTGACTAAAAGAACTTGTGCACATTTGCGTGTTCATGATTGAGTTTGTATTCACAACTTCACTTTGCTATATGGGACAAACCCACTGGTAAGCTTTAGGAACATAAGCAGCAACTTACAGCTCAGAAAAAAAAGTCCTGTGACCTTCCAAATCAAATTCAAACCTGTATTCAAATGACAAAACTACGCCAGTACAAAATAAAACCCCAGGTTTTATAACAAACGTATACTAATCTTATCTTTGTGGCCTCTGTCATGGCCTAAGTCACTTCGAGTGAAAGCTGGCTCACTGGTATCCACTGATGATTTCTAGGGATTGAAGAAGCAACGGTAAAGATTTGTGTGTACTGATTGCGGTAAATGACTCAAAACACTTGAACAGTCAGAGGGATAATGATCTTCAACCTGCAGCCAAAGCAGAAATGCATGGCTGGGTGAGTATTTAACCTGGTCTCAGTGTGGCTGAGCTGACAGTGCATGCATGAAAGAACGTGTTACGAGTAGGGATACAAATATACCAAAGTGGCTGCAGAGGCTCTTTAGACTGTGGTGGATAACCTACAACACATTTTATCTCGCCCTTAAACACGAATGTGCTAAAGTTATAGCATGAGAAAAGTCTAAATCTGTACTCGGGTCCAGAGTTCTCACTGTGGAGTATAACATTAAAAAAACTTTTTTTTTTTTAAAGCCACTGCAGAAATAATGTTCTTATGATTACATCAGTGACAACTTCCTCCATGTCATCACCCAACCACAATGACAACAATTTCTTTATCTTAACATCTAGTTACTGCAGCACTTCAAATATCATCCATGTTAATTGGCTGTGTGACCAACATGAGGGAAAAACAAGCTATCCCCTGAAGACTCATCTCAAGCCTTAAGACTGTTGTGCTTCTATGGTAGCCTGACCTGCTAGTGGGAATCAGCCTGTCCTCTAGATTACAGATGGTGAACGTGTTATAGCTCTGAACAGCCTGAGTATCAGTTTGAACATGCATGCAAGTATTATTTATATGTACTAATGGAAATATTTTTAAAAAAACGGACATTCAAAACCACAATTCCTGAAATTACTTGAACCTATTATTTGGAAAAAGCAAAAAAAAAAAAACTGTAAAAGGTTAACCAAAAAATAACATCTATGTTTTTTAACCTTAATGCTGCCTCCACAAATGTGTCATGGCATGTACACTCCCTATTTTAGACTCTCTGGATGATGATGATGATCACCGTCACCATTATTATCACTAGTGGGGTTAGCTTTGATAAAAAAAAACAAGTTTTAATCGATGATATATCTTACTTTCCATGATTCATAACAAATAACTGAGGTACAGTGTTTAGAACTGATGTTCACTGCAGGAAAGTCCTGGATTTAAGTTGGCCTCTTGCTCTGTTCTTTGCTATTATGGTAGTCTGGATAATTTAGTTACTTCCCAAACATATAGTTTATGTTAGAATGTTATCCTAAACCGACCGTGAGTCGAAATTTGCACATTTGTCTCCGTACTGAACTGACTACAGATCTATGTGTATTACTCCTTTTTCATTTGGGATAAACTCAAACCATAGCAACTAAATCTGGTGCAATAATACCAAAGTACTTCACAGCAATCATTTGAGCTGAAAAGGCTAACATAAACCTGTCACCAGCCTTTGGATTTACCTGTCGATATTTTACTTAAACATTTAATTCCATCCTGGTACTCAACTATGTACTAATGCCCAATGGTAGCCTATTAGCTATCCACATGGATCTCTACAGTTCCTGGGAAGGGCAGTTATAATGCACTAACTTGATATCAAAAACTAGAGAGAATACAATTTAAAATACACCATACTTGGTTTTGAAACCAGATACAAAATACACAAACACCAATTTCACACCTGGCTAGTTAATGCTGAAAGATTTTACTAATTGGATTGGTGTCGGTTACAGCAGCTGCATTTTGGAGATCTACTGTTCAAAACACATGGAGCAGAAAGGAAAAGGGCCTAAGGAAAAATAAAAAATAATAACTCAGCTCACTGGCTGGCCAGAACTGAAAACCAAAATCGATCTCCAGAAGCTGGTTTGTTTATAACAGAAACAGAAAATGGAGCAGCACCAAATGCATGCAGGTTCAAAACACTTTTTCTTCATGTTTGGGCTTTATGTGTGAAAACGCAAATCATTTCCCACATGAAGCTATTATGAAAATCAGATGAGGCAGTTAGTTGCAAGAGAGTTTACGATCTACTTTGGTTCCATGGACGCTGAGTGAGGTTCCTCACACCACTTCCTCTCTTTAGTAAGATGGTCTGCATTTCCCTCTGTGAGAGGATCGCGCAACCAACTAACCGACGCCTAAAATACAAGGCAAACCAGAGTTTGCTTGTGTGGTTAGCAGCATAGTTCGGACGCACTTTCACACCTGCCTAAAGGAAGCGGACTATCCAAGGAAATCAACCCTGTTTAAAGCAGACTATACAGTTCTGATTTGACAGCTCTCCAAATGCTCAACGGCAATGTGGCAGTCTAATGGTTCAGACTGCCACCATGAGAAAAGTGGCTTTTCTCCCCTTTGAGAAAAGGTAAGAAACGCAATAAGAGAAAGAAAAGAAGTCCCCACACCCACTAATCCATCCAGTTTGCATAGCCACTGCCTCGAGTTTGTATTAAAGTTATATCTGCCTTCTGCAAACATCCTTAAAGGAGCTTACAAAAAACTACCTGGTAATGTTTTTTTTTCCTAATCTTCCACTGTTCAGCTGATGGAAGGATGAATGAAAGAAAGCAGCTTTAAGCTGTAACGTGATCAGACAGCCCCGCATAGATACAGTAGTTTTAGGATCCTTCAAACGTTTACTTAAGCAGCGAGTTTAAACTTAATGGGCCAGAGAAAATGGTTCACCTATAGCACTATCACATGAATTTCAGTCACACTTCCCTCTAAACTGTGGAGCAGATCTCCGCATGTGTTTATACACAGAGGCTTTGTTCAAAACCTGTGTGTCATGTTATTGTTGTTTCTCTTTTGCGGGCCTGAACCAAACTGGTTTCCCAATCTTGAGCCACATTAATGTATCCTGGTGTGGACCTCCCTGAGACATATGACCCAGAACCAGAGCACTGCAACAGATGGTGAGGCGAGACCTGAATAAGGTAAAGAGCAGGAAGTGTGGTTACCTAGTGAGAGACGAGACATCCTTTTGAGAGTCTACGTGTGAAGTGACTTTCTGACCTCCCCATCCCCCTCTTACTGTCTTTCTCCCACGAACGCTCCCACTACCTCTTAGCTGTAAATGAGGCCCTTGTTTCACCTGCTACACTCACATTTCTTTGGCAAATAATAGGGAACTATGTTTTTGTTGATGGAAACAATTTATTCATAATAATAATTTGCTATTTTCACTTAAAACCACCATGTTCTGCTGTGTCAATCAGAAAATGGTGACTGGGCCATGAAATCTCAGTAAACTTTACCGAAATTCAAAAAGAAAAAGGAAAACCAAAGAGCAATAAACAGCAGCAAAGCCAATTTAGCTGATTAGATGCTTAAAAAAAATTGAATAGCGAGGTCGGGATTCAATGAGAGACCGAGGTTCACATACCTTTTATCCCCAAGTTTTTTCTTTGAATGTTCTTATATTTTCAACATCATCACTCGTCTTTGGAAAAACAAAAACAAATCTTGTCTATTAACCGGAGTTCAGCCCAAACAGCGCACTGCCATGCAACAAGTTTCAGAGACGAAACCCCTCTGATTCCCGGCGTGAGCCCCCGCTCAAGGGGACAAACTCACCCGTGTCGCTCCACGCTTTCGCGGCCACGATCTCATGGTAGACGGCCACCAGTCCGATCAGCAGAGCCGCTCCGAACAGGACGTATTTGCCGTGCCGGCGCAGTTTCTTCATGGGGAAAAACGCCCCGATCATCGTGGCTCTTGGGCAAAACTTGCTCCCGAGTTCGGCCGGATCGGCCGCCGTGTCATGGGCAGCGGGACCGGACACACCGTGACCGCACACAGCTGCCCGGAGCGGCTGCGTTACGCACTACCGGCAGCAGCGCGCCACTCTCCCGGTGTCTCTCACCTTTGCAAAGAAAACAAAACACCACCCTGACTTCGTTATCTTCACCTGGCCACTCTGGATAAGCCTTAATATCGTAAAGAGCTCCCCTCTGGCCCCGGTCAGTGAGTGCGCCCCTCCGGCTCGGCTCGCGTTAAGGCGCACACGACGCGGCACAATGGGTGGGATGAGGGGTGAAATCTCACACCAGCATCTGCCCCCTTCCACAACTTCATCAAGACAGGCAGAACACGACACGAACCTGTCCAAACACGGACAGGTGAGTGTTCAACATAAAAGCCCCATCAGCGCCACGGTGGTTGAAAAAAGGGATCGGTTTGGGCCGCATGTTAGAAGAGTTTGTGTTCAACTTTGTCTGCTAGCTGTTTCTAAGTGAACGAAGGCGCGTGTTTGATTTTTATTCGTGCGTTTGATTGATTGCGCTTTTACTTTCGTCCCCTGGTGTTTCATTTTGAAATGCTCAACCGGAAAAGAGTCTCATCTAATTGTGGCTTAATTGGAACAAGCGTCAGCGATATCAAAACGCCAAACGTGGGAATGAACCCTGCAGCAGAGCCACCGTGCGGGGTTGTGGGCCACCTGCTGCAGGTATCGGGACATTTAATTAGTTTTTAAAAGTTTTTGTTCCATGTATATCAGTTTTCTGCCAAAATTGTGAGGCATCACACGAACAGAGCTAATGCATTTTGCATTTTGACCTCGGTGTCATAAACTTTCATCTGTTGAGTTTGATTTCAAGTCTTAATAATTGTAATCACTAAAGTGAAATAAGCATAATGTTGAAACGTGAACAACTTAGGACATTTCTCGAGTAAAACACTTATGACGGTGTCTTGCCTCACTCTTTTTTTAACCTCTATGACTTGTTAACGTTTCATTTTAGATTAAGCTTATCAAAAGATTCACATATGTGAAAAAATATTCTGTTGCTTTAGAAGAAAAAAATCCCCATAGAAAAGACTGGAGGCTGCTTGCATGTCTCTCCCTCCAAAGTGCATTCCCTTATTAAAAAATCCAAGGAATCACAGCGCTGTGAACTTTGACCCCTGAATCAAGAACATTTGCAAATAGCTGATAAAAACCCCATTGGTAAGGAGTTACTATAAGTAACCTATAAGTTAGAAAATGAACACTTAAAACATGTTAACCTTGTTAGAAGTGGTCCTGACTTTTTGTGCTCGGAGGTATCTGGATGGACTTCTCACACTGGACACAGAGTTTTCATATGGGTGGAATCCACTTCTAAAGCCTCTGAAAATTTGGTCAGTTAACAGCATTTCATAAGCACCATTATAACAGAAAGACAGGCAGTCTGGTCAGTGCTGGTAATAGGCCATTAAACCTCATTTAAACCCTCTGAAAGCTAACATTGTTTAAATACTGATAGTTACTTTAAAAAGGATTTCATGTTTGTCATGAAACCACATATGTAGTTACTGCAAGTAAACCTTTGTGGAGTTAAGATTAGCTATTTAGGTCTTAAAACATACAAACCTGGTTCAGAAGTGACACTGGCTTCTTTGAGCTTGGAGTTATATGGATGGACTTGGACATAAATCAGCTTTAAAGATATTTGTCTGGAAGAACCGGATTCTGTGTTGGCTACCTGAAACATCGAAAGGAATTTTCACAACATTACACCTTCACGCTCATGATAAAAAAAAAAAAGGTTTCACTGTGCAGCTGTGTTGAGAGAACTGTCTCCATTCTGCAGCAGACTCCGGTCAGGCAGCACGCTCACAACAAAGAAACCATGGCTGCTGCTGTCGGGTGAAAGATAAGGAACAAAGCCGTGATATTACTTGCTGACAAATACATCGCTAAATAAGAAGCAGCTCAAATGAAATATTGATTGAATAATACAAATATCCACCTGCTAGTTTGGGTGAACATATGAAAAGTAGGTAAACAGAATAAAAAGCATGTCTGTAACGTGACACCGGTGTCCCTGGGAGAGGGCGAGCAGATATAATCAGTTGCTGTTCATGCATGGGAAAACTTCGCCCTGCTGATTTAAGCAGGTACAACTTTGTTCACTTGTGACACAAGACAAGTCTTTATTAAACGAAACATAATAAACATTTCCAAATGTAATAAGCAATAGTGTAGTTCTTTATGGTTAAGCCCGAGAACCCTAAGTGATGAATCTTTAATAAAATAAAATGCATTTCTCTTTATTTGCATACATTTGTAAAATTCACATGGCTTAACAAACACAGTTAAGTCATATGTCAACTGGCTGTTGGTAAGTTCCCTATTCCTTGAATCTACACCAGTGCCACAGGTTATGAAGAAAAGAAAAATAAAACTGTGGGACAGACTTTAAAAAAACAAAACTAAGAATAATACGCATAAACACTGTGTAGTTTGTAGTTACTGTTTATTATATCCTGTCAAGGATACATCAAGCAGTGACTTACTCCATGAGCAATGTGTTAGATCCTCTAATTTAGCTTTTGTCACCGTAAGCTCTGCTGACTAATTTGCTTCTTTTGGTGCATGGTCTTCAGCGAAAATAACAAGCTGTATATGCACACATTCATACTTTTTTTTTTTTTTTTAAACAGTAAATAAGACCCAAAAGTAACCATTTCAGTGGAATCCAGAAGCTAACAAATGTTCTTTCTACTGTAGCTGCTTATAAATGCATGTATTCCAGTTGATAAATCAGCTGTCTTTCTCAATATCACTTTGAGTACGATTCAGAAGAAATAACAAGCACAACACTGAGAAAGAAACCAGAAAGTACAAAGTCAATATTTTCAAAAAACAAAATGTGAACAGTCCTGTACCCTAGAGAGGTCTTAAAGGAGCTTTATGTCTTTAGGCTGAGAAAAGAGAAAAAGCTTGAAGTTTGACAGCTCTTCCAGGATGAAGTCTTACTAGCCCACGTATTCACAGTGCTGCTACATACTTTGGGACACAGGCGCTAGCACTCAGAATTCAGATGTTTGGACACAGCCATCACACACGCAGGAATTGATCTGTAGGCCCGAAACAAGGCTTGGCTGGACACCAAAAATGTGGAGGCTTGTAGGGCAGAAGGTAGTGCAAAGTAAACGGTTGAGCCCTTCGAGGGTGAGGGTTTTGAAATTCTGCACTTATAACGTGGGGTACACTTTTGTTTCTACCCAGGTTTTCTTTTAGGTCACATACACAGTTAAAAGCTGTGGGCTGAAAGGTTCATAGCAAGGGGGTTGTGGAACACACCTAGTTTCTTCTATCCACATCCTACAGTGCCATCAGCTGAGGAAGCCCCACTCACTCAGCTAGCTGCCACACCAAAAAGCCTGCAGAGGCGTTTCCAGGGTCAGTGTTCTCAGTGACACTCATTCTAACATACACACATCACACCATTAACACAAATGGCCAGTTACAAAGGTTTAAGTACAGTTGAACCACGACAGTCAGATCATCTATGCCTTCGCGTCACCCAAAGCATCCTTTTCAACATCCATTTCGTCCTCGCCATTCTCCTTGCTCTCCGTCTTTGAGGTCACCACTTCTTTCTGTGCGTGAGAAAAAACAAAACAAAAATCAGCTCAAACTGTACGTTCGTGCAGTGCTATCTTGTGGCTGCTGTAGTAAATACAACCATTCACCTTTGAGTCTCTTTCCGCAAACTTCTGGAACATGTTGGCGTAGATGCGTTTGTCCTTCTCATGCTGCTCCTTCATTCGTTTCTGGCAGAGCACCACCTAGCAGGACAAGGTGGAAGTGTAGGGTTACTGTATTTTCTGGGCTGACAGAGTGTGACAGCTATAGATAACGAGAGGCTGACAAGAAAACATATGGATAATATTCTCAGTGTAGGCTTTAAGCCCTTAATAACTTCCTTTATGAATTAATTACAAATTTTTTGTTGTGCACATTGGTGCCAGTTTTATTACCTGCACAATACCGACCATATTGTCATCTGAACCTTTTTTCCCCATTAAAAAAAAACTAGCAAATAATCCTCAAAAACAAAAAAAGTGTGGAAGATTTTGTTTCCAAAACATGGAGTTTTACCTGACTCTTGGCAGCCTTGTTGGCAGGATACAGCTGAACAACTCGCTGGAAATCATCTCTTGCTCTGTCAAACTCCTTCATACAGAACAGTGCCTCTCCCCTTCGGAACAGAGCCTTCTCATTGGTGGAATCCATTTCCATAGCCTATGATAAAAGTATTCTTTGGTCAATAACTTACAAGCATAACATAAGAGTCATCATTAAGAATAAAGATGTGCAATCTAATGCAGTTAACAGAGCATAACAGATTTAAGGCTCATCTTAAATCCTCTGAACGCTGACTTTGCTATTGCTAATAGTTAAATACATTTCAGTCGTACCTTGTCACAGTTTTCTAGGGCTTGGTTTGGCTCCTGCAGCTTCAGACAGCACATGGCCAAATTCAAATGTGCAGCCAGCTGCAAAGCTTTTGCTTTCTTTGTATCCTCTTCTGATAAACCAGCCTCATGTTCCAGCCAGGAAACGATCCTTTTGTACTGCACCGATGCCTGTTTGTATTTTCCCTCCTGCAACACACAGACTCCTTTAAAAAGACAAATCTTTGTCTTCAGATCAACAACAAACAGCAGGCTCCCTCCGGGCATACCTTAAAATACTGCGTCCCCTTCTCTTTGACAATACTGCTTTGCTCCAGCTTTTCTTGCGAGTTCATTTCCCACGATTCCTTAGCCTATTAAGAGATGACATTCAAGGAATGGCACTGCGCTTAGCAATCAAACTACTGAAGTTGCATTCATCTCGAAGCAGCAAGACCTGCTTACCTTCTCAAAAGCTGCCAGCTTGATCTTGTACTGCAGTGTTGCACCACCAGGAATGTTATGCTTTTCATTTCCTGCATTCCCAAACCCATATCTGCAAATGAAACACACATTATTGCTCTTGAAGGCAGAAAAAGCCTGTTGGTTTCCAACTTAACACAGCGGCAGGCTTTGTGTACAACTTGAAAACAAATAACTTTTTGAGAAATTACTACAAATAAATGAAAAAAGTTATCAATTCTCACACCCCCCCCCCCCCAATTGAGACAGCTTTCTTGATTGATGTTAACATACTGGAAGCCTCAAGTTAAAATAGCATCTTTTACTTAAACAGGTTCTTTTTCATAACATTATCAGGGGACAGGTTTCAAACACATCAGTCTGGCATTTCTTTTCCCCCTCAAAAACAACAAAGATATCAAATCAGCATGGTCATACTTGGGTTTAATGGTGAAAAGCGCCTCCTCTCCTTGTTCCATAGCCATGATGGCCTTCTCCACTCCAGCCGGCAAGCCGAGACCTTCTCCATCCCCAACCTCAAACTTCAGTTCTCTTTCATCAAATACGCGTCCATCCAAGCTACCCTCCACAGTCACTAAAAGGGAACAGACATGTTTGAGTACACGCGACACACTCCGAACTTAAAATTGCCTGACATACATATCCACAGTTCAGGGAAAAGATATGTCAAGTGGCAAACTGGGATGGATTATTAACTGGAAAAAACTTCTTCTCATGTTTAACTAAAGGTCAGGATATAACCGTTTCAAAGTAAAATTTCAATTCACAGTTAAAAAAAACAAAAATAAATATGTGTACTCTGAGCAAATCAAGATAAAATCCAGATGGGACATAGAAGACAATTATTTGCAAAGACAGGACTGTATCAGGATGTCTAACCGTCCACAGAGGCTCCTTCATTAGGCTTGGAGTATCCTTGTCCCTTGGTGATTATACGTCTGATAATTCCTCCGTCCTCCTCCTCAGTTATGTCCTCACCTCGAAAATCAAAGAGCTCCACCTTCAAGTGTGCAAAGCAGTGAATTAAAATCTCAAACTCTTTCCAGTGAATTGCTGTACAACTTGTATTTCAAACAGGATGCCATGAATACAGTACCTCAAAAATAAGGGTGGCGTTTGGAGGTATCTTGGGTGGGCTGCCTGCAGATCCGTAAGCGTACTCTGGTTTGCAGATGAGCTGGCACAGCTCCCCCACTTTCATCGTGGCCACGCCAACGTCCCACGCCTTTATCACTTGTCCTGAAGGCAAGACAGGGCAGAAACGATCACTATCATGATCACTGGCCGAGCACAAAGGACTTATCTTCATACCTTTTGGAGAGGAGACCAACCTTTTCCCAGCTCAAATGAAAACCTGTCCCCCCGGTCTCTGCTCGAGTCAAACTGTGTCCCATCCAAAAGTGTCCCCACATAATGCACAAACACCTTGTCGCCGGTCATGGGCAACTCTGTGCCTGTGCCTTCCCTTTTGACCAGCTGAAACAGAAGAGAAAACGAGAAGTGAGCAGAGCCAAGGGGAGAATCATCCAATCAAAATGAATATATATTAACATGTATGTAAAGCCAGAACCAAATCGCTGTCTTATGGTTCTATTTTTTTAAGTCTTTCTTTGAATTAACTGTGATTATTGAACATCAGCACTGATAATCACTTGTCCACGGCCCCAGATTGTTCCAGAATTAGACGGTTGCAGGGGCCATAACTGATGTTGACCCCCTAGCCCCGCAATAAGTTACTAGTGACACCAATTGCCTGAACTAAGAAACGTTCAGAAGGCGTTACTGTGTTGTGAATGGTGCAGATAGCTTAAACTGGTTGATAACACGAATAGCGCGAGCAGCGCACGCAACAGCCTTGCTAACAGCCTCGCTAGCTTAGCCGAAAACGTAAGCTAACCACGCAGCTAGCTGGAGTTGCACCAAAGCATAATAGCTTACCTTTAAGACACCCCCGTCTTTCTTTGGTGTGAGGTCCTCGCCCTCCATCGGGATGGTGTGTTGTCCTTCGCTAGTCTGCTCCTCTGCAGTCATTGTCATGAGGCCGATTTCCCCTTCTCCCTACTCTGGCTTGCAGCACAATCCACACTGACGGACACTGGATTGTGGTGACGGTAGCTAAAGCTAATTTCTACTCAAACCACGCTACGCACAGGAGTTGACAACTAACGACAACACTAACGAACTAGCAGACGTAGAAAAGCTCCACACTAACTCAACTTTCTTGTGGACGTTATTGTAAATAAAATGCACGTTGCTGCTTTCAGTCAGGAGCAGAAAGCCTATGCCACCGTTATGCACCAGCCAAGCTCGTATCAGTATAGGGTAAAGGGTGCGATCACTTCTGGCTCACGTTTCTAGCAAACTGGTGTATGACAACCGCTTATAAAAGGGCAGAGAACTTTCCAGATAATCGAGAGGAGACACGGGGATGAACGCACTTTAGTGGTGTTACATATTAACGCAAGCGTCTACCGGAAAGGCGGCGCACAAAAATGAGCAGCGCAAACGCTCCTGTATACAAACACATTCTACATGTGCATCGACAAAGTAAATTAAATAAGATACCATACCCTTTGATAATGCAAGAAAATAAAAAAAAGACAAGTATTAAGTAAACGAGATGTTACCGTCCATCTATAATAGGCAGATAACAAAAACATGCGCTCCTTGTTTCTTCTCGTTCCCTATTGGTCACCTTCTGTCACACTTCTGTTCGTTGGCGCGGTTGTCGAAAAGCTAGGAATCGAAGTCAATAAATCCTATTACAAGGAAACTGTGGTAAGTGTACTTTATAACAACTATGTTTTTGTATATGTTGAACAAGACAAAGTAAGATACTTCAGATATTGAGTGAACATCGCCTTGCTTTAGCTTGTAGCAGTAACAGGCTTCAGGTTACCCTAAATACAATCTTAGGGGCTTGACACGACATGTACTTTAAAGAGGAAGCTCATGAGTTTAACTGCGACCACGTAAATGCAGCAAAAATGTGCCAATTAAATCAGTTTAGTCCGATTTTGCAGGTAAAGTTGCCTTGACATTTTCAGGGGTCAATACAGCCAGATTTAAACTGACTGTGGGCTGTTTAGATATCACGATGACCATATCCAACCTTTATGTTCTCTTTCAGGAATCCCCAGAGGCATGGAAAATGGCAGGGTCACGTTTCCATTTCCCTACGAGCCATACAATATCCAGGAGCAGTTTATGGAAGCCCTCTACAGCGCACTGGACCACAGCAAAGTGGGCATCTTTGAAAGTCCAACAGGAACGGTGTGTAGAGAGGCATCAGGCCTGAAACGTTAGGAGTAAGCAGTGACTTTAGTGATGATTCGTTTTTGTGTGTTAATCTAGGGAAAGTCACTGAGTCTGATATGTGGCGCGCTGAGCTGGCTAACAGATTATGAGGAGAAGAAGAAACAGGAGGCTGCTGCTCTGCTACAGGAAGGAGAGGCGGTTCTGTCCACCTCAGTGGCTCCGGCCTCTGGCGCCGGCTCCTCAGCAGAACCAGACTGGATCACAGATTTTGTCCAGAAAAAGGCTGAACGTGATCTGGTGTCACAGCTCAAGGTAAGGATGGGTGGGAGCTATTGTTGGATTCTTAGAACGTTGGTATTCGACTCAGATTAAATGTTTCCATTTCAGGAGCAAGAGTTAAGAAGGAAGAAGAGGGAAGAACGGCTTGAAATGATCCGTAACAATGCTCAACTAAAGTATGCTATGAAGAGAAAGGTAGGTTATTTGCCACAGCAAGTACTGTAAGCCATGGAATACAAAATAACTAGAGAAAATAATTGTCCTTTCCAGAGCTGCGAAGAGGACGAGGCATTCAAGCTGCTTCAGCACAGTAAGGAAGAGCATGCGGAAGCCCCAGGAGATCCGGCCGATGAAGACCTCATCATTGCAGAATATGAAAGTGATGATGAGACCAAGAGTAAAGGCAGGTGAGGATTGACTACTACCGGCTGAAGCAAATGTTATCACTGTCAAAATGTGGCATGGAAAAAACAATTGGAGGGCACATCTGCTCACATGCACAGATTCTTGGGAGGTGAGGAGGAGGACGATGATGAGCTGGTTGAGGAGCATGTGACTAAGGTGGGGGAGACAAAAATCTGCACAGAAACTGCACAAACGTACAATGATAACATGTGTAAATTAAATAAGATACCATACCCATCACCTGACACTGATGTGGGATATTCATGCAGATTTATTACTGCAGTCGCACGCACTCCCAGTTGGCCCAGTTTGTCCACGAGGTCCAGAAAAGCCCCTTCAGTAAGGACATAAGTTTGGTTACCCTGGGTTCAAGACAGGTACGTGTACATACTTAAACATATGAGCTACACCACAAACATCAGAGGGCAAATAGATAACATGAAATCTAAATTTCGGATCATCTTGATTAAATTTAGGTTCTAATATTGTGTATTGGGCTGATGGTTATTGGAGTACTTGTGGTACGGTACCTAGAACCTGCTGAGAAACGATCAGGTTTTAGGCTGACATGGTAAAACTCTTATATTCACACTCTGTAGTTCATTCCAAACGGTTAAAAATGTAAATTTACATGTAATGCACGTTTCAGATGTCACAAAAAGGGAAGAAAAAAAGCCAATTATTTAGAATTTTAAATTACATGTGTAAATTTCAAATGGAGAATATCTTGTATGTATCTAGGAATCTTATTGTGTTTTAATTGTAAAATTCAATTAGTTTGTTATTCCAAGTGCCTTTCACTTTGATTGGGGTAAACTTGGATCCTTGAGAGATTTTTTCTTTCTGTCATTTGCAAATGGCAGTTGGAAATTCCTTTATAGGCACCTCGATAACTTGACGGCGGTTGATAAGATACTTGTTCTGTAATTCAGTGGGTAAGTTGTGGAAGAGTCACCAGTGATGTCTGAAACTGCTTGTTGGCAGAATCTGTGTGTTAATGAACAGGTGCGACGTCTGGGCAGCATCCAGCACATTAATGACCGCTGCATGGAGATGCAGAAGAATAAAAATGGTAGGGGCCACGGAATTCCTCCTCTCACAGAAATAAATTGGGACTTTGTCTTTGTCAGAAGCCATTCTCATTAGCTTACAGCTGTTAGTTGTTATGCCATTTTTGCAGAGAAGCTGCATCACGAGGAGGGCGCAAAACGCAAGCGAGGCCCCGCAAAGAGTGTGTGTCCCTACAACAAAGCCTCCGCTCTGCAGCAGATGAGGGATGGAGTTCTGGGGACGGTCCATGACATAGAACAGCTGCTGAAACTGGGGAAGGAAACTCATTCATGCCCTTATTATGCCACGCGTCTTGCTATTCCCCCTGCACAGGTAGCCCAGTCCTCTTTATGCTTGGCGTTGTTTGGTTTTCTTTGAGCGGTGTTCGGTTGGATTGTGCAGGTTTAGTTCTGTATTTTCTCTGAGCAGATGCTGAGAAATGTATGGAAATTTTGTGTTGTAGTTGGTGGTGTTGCCCTATCAAATGGTGCTTCATGAGGCTACAAGAAGGGCAGCGGGGGTCCAGCTAAAGGGACAGGTACAAACAACTGTTATCATTTCTGAGGTTATCATAACATTTGAAAGATGTTTCCATTGGACTAAAACGATTTAACAATACCAAAAAAAAGAACACTGTATGATTTTAGTTTACATTGGACTGATTGTTCCCTTTTATCATTCTTAACTGTCAGAATTAGCAATTTCAGATATTACTGACATGGGAAAATTGATTTCTAACAGGTGGTGATCATAGATGAAGCTCATAATCTTAGTGACACTCTCTCCTGCATATACAGCACAGAGCTGACTGGTGCTCAGGTACCCTTTGTCTTATTCAACTTAGAATGTTTAGCTTTAAGTCGTTTTTGTTCTTTACGGTCGTTTCACATGTGAATATTTGCAGCTTTGCCGTGCACACTCCCAGCTCACACAGTATGCTGATCGCTATAGGTGAGTTTCACACAAAAGAGTTGTTTTTCATCCGTCAGTATACTTTACCCGTGTTCTGACTTCATTCACATCTGTCTTTGAAACCAGGAGCCGACTGAAGGCTAAGAATCTGATGTACATCAAGCAGATCCTGTTTGTTATCGAGGGACTGGTCCGTGTGCTTGGAGGTGAATGTCTGCAGTTAGCTTGTGATCCTGCTGGTCAGGTCAGTCTGAACACACCGTCTGTAGGCACTGCTGATCTTGGTGTTGTTTTCCCTTCTCCCTCCAGGTAAAATTGGACAAAATCCACAGACCCAGATCACACAAGCAGGTTTGTCAATGATAAACACAAATAGAAACCAACTGACTCACGTCCAAGCTGAAATAACTGGCTGTCCACCTTCTTTTTTTCTCCCTCCAGGGACAGAGATGCACACCATTAACAACTTTCTCTTCAAGGCTCAGATTGACAACATAAACTTGTTTAAGGTAATTTCTGCTTAATTTCAGTTTAGAGTCTAGTTATTCAACATACTCAAGCAATAAACTAAACACCTTTATCTCACTTCAGCTGCATAGGTACTTTGAGAAGAGTATGATCAGCAGGAAAGTAAGTGTTTGATATGGATAACACATTCATATAAAAGAGCGTATTTCTGAAAGGGTAAAATGAACTGTTCTGTTTGCAGCTGGGTGGATTTGTGGAGAAGTATGCGGGCTCAGGTGTGACCCTGCAAACCCAGACCAGCTGCAACAAAGAGAACCGACGCACAGAAGGCCTGAATCGTTACATTCAGACCTTACAGAGCAACCGGGGCTCTGCGCCAGGTAAGATCTGTTGCCCTCAGGCGCATTTTGGAGAAGGAACATCCTCTCTGTGGGCATTGTTATGTGCTGAAGAGAGCTAAAGAGATTTCACCTGTAATGTGCTGAAACTTCACACCGACGTGTAGAAATGAGGTCTATATTTGAGGCCACCTGGCATATTGCAGTGAGATTCTCTGTCACACTCCCCTGTGCGCAGTTCCCTCTGCAGACCAGCAGGGGTCTATTGAGGCCGACAAAGTGCTGTCCGCCTCTCCCATGATGCAGGTGGAAGGTTTCTTCATGGCTCTGACCAGCAGCAATACAGACGGCAGGGTGGTGGTTCACAGACAAGGTGCGGCTTCCTTCTCAAAAGAAAAAGAACAACTCGACCCACAGATTGTAAAATTCCAAATGTGCTTATTCCCCCAGGCACCGTGTCAGAGAGCAGCATCAAGTTCCTCCTTCTGAACCCAGCTGTTCATTTTGCTCAGGTCCTAAAGGAGTGCAGAGCCGTCATTATCGCTGGGGGAACCATGCAGCCTGTAAGGTCCTTTGATAATAACTCAATCATTTTTTGGTGTTGTTATTCGGTTAGCTGCAACAGAAAATATTATGTGTAGGTTTCAGACTTTAAACAAGAGCTGCTGTTTTCTGCCGGAGTCGGGGAGGAGCGCATTGTGGAGTTTTCCTGTGGTGAGCATTTTCCAATACCCCATACTCAGTAGGATGCTCCATCATGATGCTTTTAATTGGTGATGTGACTATCAATGTTTTTGTTTGTGAGATCAATTTGATATATCTTTGCCTTTTATTTCCCTGCAGGATAGGTAGATTGATTTGTGAATTGTGTCCCGGTGCAACAGAAGTGAAAATCGATCAAACAGAAAAAGTCAAACTTTGTGTATCTAACGCCCTCTTACAAACTGTGGGTCTTACCTATGTCTTACAGTCATAGGTACCTACCCTACATAAACCACAGTAATTGTAAGGCCATTTCAAGGTGAATTTAGAAAATATTAAAATGGCTTTAGACAGGTACGCTGTGGTTTTGAATAATTTTATTGAGATATGTTTGTGTGGTGTAAAGCTTCCCCACAATTACTGTTTATGTGTTTTGCCCTCACCTGAAAGATGACACAAAAATAGAAAATAGTTTCTTGCCTTTTTTTTTTTTTTCTCTTTGTGTAATTTTTTTCCTGACATCTGTCTGTAGGCCACGTCATTCCCCCAGAGAGCATCCTCCCCATCGTCTTGTGCAGCGGCCCATCTGGCCAGGAACTGGATTTCACTTTTCAAAACCGAGATTCTCCTCGCATGGTGACAACAGCCCTTTTTCAGCCCTTTGTCTGGATTTCATTGACAGGAGTTGCATTGTTTTCACAAGCATCACCACTAAGATCGAACGCCTTTGTTAACAGATGGATGAAACGGGTCGCATACTCTCCAACATTTGCAACGTGGTCCCTGGAGGTGTCGTGTGTTTCTTTCCCTCTTACGAATATTCGAGGCGGGTCGTTTCTCACTGGGAAGCCAGCGGTGTGCTTGCCCGATTGGCAAACAAGAAGAAGGTACACCCGCCGCATGTTTATTTAATCGAGGTCAACCAGAGTTTCGGAGGAAGCCATACAATAAAAATGTAACAGGCAAGTATCCCCAAGGACTCTGAACTGTTTCAAACACCCCCTCAGATCTTTCAAGAGCCAAAGAAGGCCAGCCAAGTGGAGCAGGTGCTGGGCGAGTTTTCCCGCTGCATTCAGGTAAACCGGCCGCCTCTGTTACCTGCATCTTCGTTATCTTGGACCGTGCAGCCATCGGGGATGGACTCTTTCGCTTCTTTTTCTGTGCAGAGGTGTGCCGCCGACAGCGGCGGACTCACTGGCGCGCTGCTGTTGTCTGTGGTCGGAGGGAAGATGAGCGAGGGAATCAATTTCTCCGATGACTTGGGCAGGTGTGTGTTATTCAAGCAGCACGTTGGCAAGGAGCTGCTGCGTCTTGTTGCTTGTATTTATAGCCCAGCATTGTCTGTGCGCCTGTGATAAAACAGGTGTGTTGTGATGGTCGGAATGCCATATCCAAACATCAAGTCCCCGGAGCTCCAGGAAAAGATGTCATATCTGGACAAACACCTGGTCAGAATCTGTCAGATGTCCAAACAGACTTTTCACGAGCATGAGAATATACATACTGTAAATGCAAGATGAGAGTAACAGTGAGTGTGTCTTCTGATCTGACATTTCTCCGTCGTAGCCTCCCACTCAAGGAAGGAGCCCCGGACAAGCTCTTATAGAAAACCTCTGCATGAGGGCTGTCAACCAGTCTATAGGTAATAATAATCATGTAATATTCCTAGCAGCGGGGGGGGGCGGCTTATGATCGGCATTAATAATGCAAGTTTTGTTCTCTCCAAAGGAAGAGCTATCCGTCACCGTGGTGACTATTCCTCCATTGTGCTGTGTGACAGACGTTATTCTCGGCCAGCTACTCTCTCCAAACTCCCCGCCTGGATCAAAGAGCGCACCAGCACACATTCAACTTTTGGTCCTGCTTTTGCTGCTTTACGAAAGGTAAGAGCTACACAATAAACCGCACACTCACTCAAAGCCTGGCTTCGTGACTAAAACTAGATTTTTTCTTGTATATTCTTTTCTAGTTCTTTCAAGAGAAGAAGCATAAGAAAATGTAGTTTCTGTTCCAAGGACAAGAAAGGAATCTCCTCTAATTTAAGCACGTTTGATGTAATTTCTCTTTTATATTCTTTAAGACTTTTGTACTCAAGTGCTGAAACATCCCAATGGAAGGCAGTGCTTCTGTGTTATGTTATTTCACTCTTCCCGTTTTCAGTCTAGTCTTCTGTTTTGAGGTTAACCCGGATGAATTTGGTTAATTAAAGACTAATATCTCCAGGTATTTTCATGTTTTCAGTTTTTCTCTGGTTCTGTTGATGCAGAGGTTTTAAAATAGCTTTTCATCATTTTTTAATCCAGTATGTTGACACTGACTGCAGAAAGTTAGTGAAATTATCAGGCACAACACTGCCAGGCAAACATGTGAGTGGTCTTTAATATTTAAAGAACTACATTCAAGTGTTATGTAATCAAAAGTCTGCCCACTTTCATGTTCCTTCTTCATAACAGATATTTTGGATTTAATAATAAACTTGTCATAATGAATAATAATTGATTGTGTTTATTTGTTGTCGTGCATGGATGTATATTTAGCTTTTGACAAACTACTCCATTAGGTTTAATGGAATTATTAAACTATATTTCCCTATTGCTAAAAAAAAAAAAAAAAAAATGCTTTTCTTCATTATGTGCAGAAAACATAAGCTCAACAAATAAAAGAAATAACAACAAAATGCTATTGAATGCTTTTCGTATCAGTGCCATTTGCTGTGTGTCATGCTTCCCAGTCATCATCATCTGCTGCTGACTGTGGGGCAGGAAGTGGTGGGATGACGTCTGACATCCTGGCAAACGCGCCGCCAGTTCCCGTGGGTGGTTCGCCCGATTCCCCCCCTGCTGGGCCTTTACCGGATATGCCTAAAAAGTTAAAAGTATACATTTAAATAAATACAGTCAGTAACCCCAGTGTTTATAATATATATTAGAGGTGTTTGGAATGTATCACCTTTTCTGCGCATGGCGAGTTTGTTGAAGAGATCAGACATAAAGTCTCCCCCACTGGACGCAACTCCCACTGCTGAGAAGAAGAAAACTTAACTTAATAACTTGAGATCAGTCTTGCTTGAATAGAGGTTGGCACACAACTACCATCACAAAGGAATTAAAAAGATGAAAAAAAAAAACCCAGACCCCTCTTATCTTAACAGGCTGAGCCATATGCTGTATAATTCACAGCTAAATGTCACTGGCTGATCATGAGCTGCATGCCTACGTTGATAAAACATGGTCAGGGCCACGTGCCCGCTCAGACACCTTGCTCCTGCTCTTTTTGTTTCTTCTTCTCCATCTTGCGTTCTTTAACGTTGCGCAACTTCGCTTTGCCAATGCCGCCGGCGTTTCGGATGGACTCCAGCAGACTGGCGCGGCCGTCTGATGGCTCAACCACCTCGCTTGGAGCGCCAGACATGAGGCCTACAATGAGAGGAGACAGTCTGTCAAGAAGCAATTTTGGGTCACATCCATTCCTGTCAATTAGGTCAATTTAATTCAAGAGAGCAAATTAACACCCCCCCCCTACTATGTGTGTCTGTGTGCAATGGAGGTGCAGGTTTCCAATACAAGTGAACCTGCCCGCTCTGCTTGTATTCCTCCCAGAGAGCGGTGTGTTGTTGGTCTGCTCTGACCATGGCGGGTGGGACAAACCTGAACTGGGCGTTCGACTGGCTTCCGTAGAGCTCAGGGCGGGAGGAGGGGGTGGTGGGGGCGGAGCAGGGGGAGCTGCTGGAGGAGCTGCGGGTGCGAATGTGGGCTCGGGAGGGGGAGGTGGAGGTGGAGGGGGTGGTGGAGAAATCAGCGGCAGCTGAGTACCTGGAAAAAATAAAGATGAGAAATGTCCATCACAAACGACGGGAAAGATTTACAGGGCATGAATCGACATGGTGGAAGTAGACGAGAGCAAATGAAGCCAATCAAACGGGTGTTAACAGGGTAGCTGCCAACCGGGCACGACGCTCTCCTCAGAGAAGGACGGCAGCTCAGGGATGTTGTGCGTGGGACCGGAGGGAGCAAAGCCTGGCCCGAGGTCCGCGCTGTAGGACAGGTCATCTGCAATACCGGGCAGGTCCGGCAGGTAGGACGGCACATCGATCTCAGGAACCTGACCCAGGTCTGGCACGTAGAAATAACTCTCTGCAGTCTGTTAAAGAGAAAACGGTTAACAGCGTTACCCATAAAGCTTCCCCAGAAAGGCTGAAAGAACAGCGTGATCAGGTACCTGTCGCTCCAGTTGTTCTCTCTTTGTGATGGATAATGGAGCATCAAAGGGCTTCTGCTCTTTTTCTGTCTCTAGAGTTGTATGAGTTTTTGTTACTGCTCCCGCCAGTGGATCAAGGAACACATACTTCTTATATCTTTAAAAATAAAAAAGAAGAGAAAAAAACATCAACAAATGAAGAGATAAAAGCAAATGTTTAAAACCTGACTTGTCTCGCCGGGAAGCAGCTGTTTTTGTGGATGACAACTCACAGATTCTCTGTGGTATTAAAAAGCAACAGAGAGCTGACAGATGAGATGTTCCGAGGGAGACTGCCCAATCCTTCCTCTGTCTCGTCCTCAGACCTCTTCTTATTGCTCACGCACACGGGGAAATACAGTAACTTCTCCTGAAAGGAAGAGAGCCAGACCAGAGGGAGGAAATCTGTAAAATCCCAACTAAATCCTGAACGACAAACAATGACAAATGTCACTTAAGTGCTCTTGTGCAATGAAGAACAAACACTGCAGTGCTGCATTGTGTGACCAAGGACATTGCTTCTGGAGGATACTGAATAATGCATTGCTGCACAAGAGAGGATTGCCAGCGGTGTTTTCATTTTTCTCCTTCGGTCTTACAAATACACACAGACACACAACGCTCTCACAAGACCGAGCACACGCAGCAGAAAATATGCAAGATGCCATAAAGTTTCCCGAGTTGGTGCGGGGAAAACTCTGAGCTTCGCCATAAATAATGCAGGAGCTTGTGCTCAGCTGGGAACACGAGCACAGGGGGGGGGGGATGACAGTACATACATTTACAGTCAATTTTCCACTGTCAAATGACAACCGTAACTCACAGCTTTTGATATCCTGCGCACAGCACGCCATTTACTGAGCCACAAAGTAAACTGCTGAACAGCCACACCTGCATCTGATGAACAGACTTAAAGGGAAGGACCAAAGCTGTTGCTTTAAAAACTGTCTATTTCCACAAGTCTATGTCTTCTTTCAATTACTTTTTCTTTTCTGATAAGACATCAATTCCTCGAAGATGTTCACAAGATAAAGGACTTTTTTTAACGTGAAGAATATAAAGTATTAGGACACCTGGAAATCCTGCGCACAAAAGTTTCAAAGGAAAAAAAAGGAAACAGATTTGGGTGATAAGGGATTCAAACATAAGGAATCAAGCATTTCATCTCAGAGGGTGAAACACCAGAGGGGCTGATTTTTTTTTTTAGACAGGGCCAATTGAATGTAAGCAGAAGGAGCTGCTGATAAGATTTTTCAGCCCAGCAGGCAAACCTAGAAACTTAGTAAATGTGTTCCTATTCTACCAGCAGTTTTGCTCTTCTGCTCATTTCTCAGAGCTTGTTTAATGTTTTCCTTCAGGCTCAGCTAAAACCCACATCACTGCCACAGCGACAAGGGAAACTGTGCACATGGCCTGACGGGAAGACAGGAAACTATAGCATGAAGGGCTCTTCAAACATTAAACTGTGGGCCAGCTTTTAACAGAACAACTATATATGCTGTCATGGGAGTTTGGTCCTGACATGTTCATGAGAAATAGTAAGAAGAGCCTCCAGCTGAAAGCTGATATAGAATGTGATCATAACATCTCTTAATGAAACCGTTGGCACAATTCATTATTGAATAATTTGACTATTTATCTTGGATTTTTGTGCTTGTCTCACCTGCAAGGCCTTTTCATCAAAGGGCCGTAATTTATTCTGTATCCTCTGACGAGGGCGGCTATGTGAGGAGGGATCCGCAGCCCCAGCGAAGATGGACGAGTAGTCCTGAAGCTGATCCGGGGCTGGATATTTGGCACTGGAGAAAACCTAGCAACACATACAATGAGGTCATTTTCACCTTGTTTGGTCTGACATAAAACTGAGTTTCCATCTTAAAGAGAATAATGGGCTGCGTTACCTTTGTGGCCTTCTTACTGCCTTTGATCCTGTCAACGCGGGCCTGAGCCAGTCGGATTCGGTCAGAGACGCGCTGCAGCTGCTGGCGGTTCTTCTCTACACTCTCTGAAACCCTGGGAGCAGCAGCATTAATAAAAATCATATTCATACATTAATGAAAAAATGCCTGGGGTATATCAATTAATAAGAAGTTAGCAACTTATCACTTTTGAGATACATGATCCTAAAAACGAGCTGAGAAAACTCTCTTTAGAATAATAATGAAAAATTATTCATTATCAGCAATCTTACTGAAAACAGATCATTTTTCAAAGATTTTACAAGCTAAAGTAATTCAGTCCATAAAAGTGCCATGTTGTTACATAGGAGACAATTCTTCTGTATTGAGGGTGCTAAACAGAGACCATCTGCTCTACAACACAGGCTGTTTTTAAAATGTACAAACCTTTATTACCACTATTTTGGGGTTAAAAGATTGAAAAATAGACTAAATACATTCTGACATTCAAAAAGAGACAAGGTTTGGTGGATGTATTGGACAAAGGATGCCGGAGATGGAGCTGACAGGCAGGAGGAAAAGAGCAAGACAAAGGAAAAGAGGTCAGTGAATGCCACCGTAGTGAAAGGTGACATGCAAAGAGTTGCTGTCACAGAGGATTATGCTGGGGATCAAGTGAGATAAAATCACTGTACTATCTTCACCTCCAAAAGGGAGCAGCCAAAAAAAAGAAAAATCTATTTTTCGCTTGTAAGGTTTTGGGTCTTTACATTTTGCACTTTTTTTTGTAATGTTAACATATGTTTGGCTAAAAATGAAAAACAAAGAGACAAAATATAACAAACTGACAATAAACGTTTCAGAACCTGGGCCTGTACAAATTGTTAAGATCCAGTTACAGGATGAATGGAATGCCAACACATAAAGACAAAAAAAATTAGAATAAGATCAATGCTCTTTTTTATTTATTTGTACATCGGTTCCATATTTCCAGGCTGATTGATCTGTTAAACATCTATCACACTGACTTAAATGTCTCACTAAGCCTGGCTCTGCTGGAAGCAATTGCAGATCAATGACTTGTTCAACCCAAAGCCAAACTTCGAAAGGACTTATGTAGACATCTCTCACCATAAAACTTCTTAAAGGGAATCGTTAACAACCTTCACTTTGTATCCGGCAGACAAACGGCAATCTATAAGCACGTTTTTCACAAGTTGTGGCCATCTTTTAAAGACGGTGACTGAGTAATGTGTGAGAAAAGGTGGTGGGCTTGCCTTCTGAAGATGTCTGTAGAAATGGTCTCTAAGTACATCAAAGCGTCTGCAATCTGATGAACAGCTTCCTCTCGTCTCAGGTCTGGCTGAATGAGAGGCACAGAGTACACCTGGCCCTCCAGGCAGTGCCTCTGTGTCATTCTACAAGGAGAGTAGAACAGATTTGTTAGTTACAATAACACACACTTATCATGGGCATGGCAGTGCTCATTGCTTTCCATCAATGCAAAGCCTTAAAACCATAATGCAATTTATTCTACGGGTCTAGGTTTTCAGTCAGTTCTTATATTTGTGTCAACCTTACAGCAATATAAGATCGTCAATTAACCAGAATACATTTAGTTCGAGATACAGAATTAATCTAGACCCTCAGCTGACACTCACATGACGCCGATGCATTTTTTTTTATTTCAGACTCAATGTGAACATGGGCTCAAACATACTGTTGCTAAAGCCAGCAGTTTACAGCTAATGAACAGGCGCTCCAGCTGTTTACGGGCAAATAATCGAATAAAAAGGATCGTGTGATTGTGTTGTTTTCCGTTCAAATACAAAAAAGCCAGCTCTTTCTACAAAAAGCGCATCTGTGAGGAGACACAGTCAATGGCAGTAAATGACACAGGCTTACCTGACCATCTGCTTAGTTTAATTGTTCACTGTCACTAAAAAAGAAAGTTAGAGGCAAAGCTAGACTGTAGCTGCATTGCTATTGATATTCAGAAAACAACGGTTTTCACTTCCGCTTCCGCACAGCACGTGACTACTGAGGCTATGATGTTGCCTTCAAAGACCTCGGAGTTTTGTGGACCTATATTCTTTCTTTCTTTCTTTCTTTCTTTCTTTCTTTCTTTCTTTCTTTCTTTCTTTCTTTCTTTCTTTCTTTCTTTCTTTCTTTCTTTCTTTCTTTCTTTCTATCTATCTATCTATCTATCTATCTATCTATCT